CAAGTTCACAGGCCAGCACCTCCATCAGCATGCCCTTCTTTATAATCTACTCACAAAGAGACATTATTTCTCTGAGAATTTGCTTAAAGTAATTCTAGCTCCTAGCCTTGCGCCTCCGATTTTTCCCATATTAAAAATACTTTCTTCCCCAGGCATAACAATATATTAAAACATAAAATATTCCTGTAGTGTGAGATTAAAAAGATACGCAAATTATAAAAGACAAAGAAAGGCTGTGGAAACATTCCAAATGAAAGGAGGCTATTAAGTAACAGCTTTATGCAATTTCTAGTCCTGCACTGTATCCTGTGCTGCAGGGACAAAAATGCTCTACGGGACAACAGGTCAGTGGAAAAAATTGAAATATAGATAGCACATTAGATAAATGCATTGCTTGTGTGTAAATTGTGAATTGTTAACTGTATTGTGGTCATATAAGAGAATATCCCTACTCATAGGGAATGCACACTGATACATTTAGGGGCAAAGGACCTTAATGTATGTACTTATATACATGGTTCAAAAAAAAATTTATTTCAAAGAGGGAAAGAACACAAATGACTTTGTGAAAGGGGTAAAATGTTAACAATAGGCAAATGTGGTTAAAGGCTTAATAGATGTTTCTTTTACTATTTCTGTTATTGCAACTTTAAGTATAAATTACTACCAAATACAGAAGCTTTTTAAAAAGTACAGAAAACTGAAATATGTAAATTTAAAAGTTTATCTCCTTTAAAAGAGCAAATTTCCTTTGAAATTGTATTCTTGAAATTGTACTCCCAAAAACCATTTCTGTCATTTCACCTAAATATTTTTTAAAAATAGGACCAGAGGCAGTGGATCATGCCTGTAATCCTAGCACTTTAGGAGGCCGAGGCAGGCAGATCTCTTGAGGCCAGGAGTTTGAGACCAGCCTGGCCAACATGGCAAAACCCGCATTCTACTGAATATACAAAAATTAGCTGGGCGTGGTGGCGCACGCCTGTAATCCCAGCTACTTAGTAGGCTGAGGCATGAGAATTGGTTGAACCCAGGAGCGGGAGGTTGCAATGAGTTGAGATCGTGCCACTGCCCTCCAGCCTGAGCGACAGAGCAAGACTCTGTCTCAATAAATAAATAAATTTTATGTGTGTGTGTGTGTGTGTGTGTGTGTGTAGCATTTAGAATAGCACAAGAAACACATTTTGTGATTGAGTTTAGTTTTCTGTGACCATATCTATAAAATATTACTGATAATTTATACTAAAATGCATGATGATGCTGTTAACACGAGTTAGATATATGTTTACTAGATATTTGTTAGAGCACTTGAAAAAATACCAACCAATTGATTGTCAAAAGATTCATGAGATATATGAAACTACTTGGAAGAAAGAGAAACTAGGGGAAAAGTAAAGTATGAATAAGATTCTAATATGAGCATTTTGTCATTGGGCTAAAAATGAAGGGAAAAACTGTGGTAATGCTCTTCAAATTGTTCTCCCATTGATTTACAGTAGAGTGATTTGGTTGTGATGAAGTCTATGTTATCACTCGAGCCAGTTTGTAAATCACATTTTTGTATTAGTTCTTTTTTACTTGGCTAGCTCTTTTTTTTTTTTTTAAGCCATGATATATGTTTATCTCCTTGGAAAACCTTCTCCTTTTCAAGTATTCCTGCCTAGAATTGCATTTTTATCTGTCAACCTACGTAATTCTCAGTAGTCCAAATCTATATGTTGCCAAATTACAGATGTACAGATGTTCTCTATGTGTTTTATTATTAATTCAACTATTGTATTTAATGTTGCACTCCTCTAAGGCAGAGTTTATCATCATAAATGGTATTAATCATGAGGATCCTAAGTAATCAAATCATGAAATTAAATGAAAAATCATTTTTTACTTTGTTGTGCAGTTTTACTTTTCCATGCTGAAGTCAGTTTCCATTGGCTAGATTTTAATTCCACTCAGCCTGAAATTCTTTTTTTTTCCTTTTGAATACATTATTGGAGACTCGATAGGCTTTCAATAATTACATAGCTCTCAATACGTAAGCATGCTTCACTAAATATACAATGAAGCATATTTCTGTATTAATAATCCTTTTATTTTCTTCCAAGTGTATATACCACCTCAGGCACAAGTTAAATAATATAGTAAACAATAGCAAATAAATCAGTGATTAAAACAATACAAAATCAGTCCCCAAATTAAAAAGCTAAGTGACTGTGCATTGTGAATGTCCACATAAAGAGACTTAACTCTGGAACATCAAAATCTGTAAACCCCATCAGGTAGTGGGGACATTAGATGGGAGCGAGCACTAGAGGAGCTGACTCCTCAGTAACCTCAGTAACTTACTAACTTCCTCTGTAACCTCACCTCTATAGGCCTTAGCTAAATACTGTGCAGCTTTGTTAAAAACGGTCTCTTGGAAAGGATATCTATATTCCCTTCATTTGCTTTTTCATTGATAAAAATTTATTGGTGCTTTTAAGAAGCCAGAGTGCTGAGAACTTTATAACTATTGGATCGAAGTTCATCCAGAATAAAGGCTCTTACGTGTGTATAAAGATAAGAGTCTCACATTTAAAATACTCCGTATAATAATGGACTACCATTGATAATGCTTATTTTTCTCTTTGATGGCAGCAGTGATAATTACTTAAATAAGTCAAAGCTACATTTTAAAAAATTGATGATTTTAACATTACAGGCTGAAATGGGGGCTCTTACTAACACTATACATTTTCCTTTTTATAATTTCAACTTTTATTTTAAATTCAAGGAGTCCATATGTAGGTTTGTTACATGGGTATATTACGTGATGCTGAAGGTTGGGGTATGACTGATCCCATCACCCAGATAGCATAGGACCCAATAGCTTTTCAGCCCTTGCCCCCCTCCCTCCTATAGAAATACTTAACCACACAGAAGTGTGCAATTTAGAACAAGACAGAGTCCAGATAATCAGTTGCAAGGGCCAGAATATGAATAAAATCATATTCATTTTGAAGCCACGTGTCAAATTCTTCTGTTTTATCCAGATTGATGTAGACTTTGAACAAATAATAAATGTAATATACCATACAAGAACACTTTATTTTGTGACTATTAATGGACTCTTGAAGTTTCTTTTGGCAGATGGAGATGGACACATGGATCATTTACTGCCAGGCTGTGAAGATAAAAATTGCCAAAAGAGTACCATCTACTTAGTGAGATCTGGGACAAAGCAGGTATATCAAGTTGCTTTTTAATGTAAACATTTTTTTATGTGCTTGGAAAAAAATCTTCAAAGGTTAGAAAAGTTACCTGTAGAATCAGAACAGAGGGAACCCCAAAATTAAGTTACCAACTTCCTCATTTTAACTTAATGAAATGCATTTAAATCTATTATTTTTTAATTTGTTGAGGGAGGAGCATTGTTATAATTATTTCTGGTGAAGAAAACCCATTCTGGATACTATAATTAAATGATCTTTTAGCTTTTTATATGCCAGGAATATGGCAGAACACACTATAATGAAAGGTTACATAGAAGAACATTGTATCTATTTTCGCAGCTGATGTTGTTTTTATTTGTGTTATCTAAACCTATTTTATTACCTCTTGCTGACTTTTACCTGTAACTTGTAGGTAAGCAGTTTCGAATCTGACAGTCACAGTGGAGGATTAATATGGGAATGATAGGTTGTAACAATCTTATTAGAATTGTTTTATTTTCTTTTGGGGGGTAATAAATGATAGAATAACATACTGACTTTTATAGCCCTTATGGAAAGGGAGCATCATATTTTATGTGAAAACAAATCTTCAAACAGTCAACATTCTAAAAGCGTTTAACTGGCCAGTCTGAATACAGTGGTGTTAAGTATACATAGCCAGTTACGGATGTCCTTGTTTCTTCTCCACCCCCACTGCTTCACTTTATAGCCTTAAAATAAAATAAATGAAAGCATTTAACTGTTCTACCTGTAAGTTTTATCTTGAACTTTTTTTAAGGTTTTGAATCACTTAAAACTTTAGATCAAGTAACACTTAATCATTGGTTCATAATTATTAGTAATCCTAGTAATTATTGCCTATTGACAGACTACTGTAAGAATATTTTCAAATTATACAGTCATCTCTCTCTCTGGGAAGATAAATGTCACGGTTCTTTGGTGACTATTATCAGTGTCATATTGATACTGAAAAATCTTTTTACATTTTAGGCCTTAATACATTTACTTTAACAGGAATACTTTATTCAATGTGGTTTATTCTCATTAATAACCTGTCAGCCTCTTCAGAAATTTGTGATAACGTGGCAGTGAAATACCTCATCTGCTAAAATAAAACCCAACAGTTTTTAAAAAATCAAGTGAAACCATTGAAACATTTTAATGATATATAAAATAATACTGTTTTGCTTAAAGAAAGATTGAAAAATTATTAAAGATGCATACCAATTTTTTTAAAACACTCATTTTCTGTAAATATGTCTTTTCCAAGTTTCCTTTTTCTCTGGTAAATTATACTTTCTTTGGAAAATATATAAATTATTGCAAATACTCTGTTTATTAACCCGTTTTCAAGAAACCGTCTTTAATATAATTTGACTTTCAGCCATATAAATGAGTCACCTGCTTAGAAGGAAAGGAAAGGAATCTCTAGGCATGTTTGGTCTCCTGCCATCTCAAGTCAGCTGTGCCTGCTTCTGCTCAGACATCTTCAGGTTATGTGCCAGCATTCATACTCAGCAAATTGTGGGCACATCTATAACTGTAATGGCATGATTTCTACTCTTCAGATTTCTAGTTATTAAAAAGTGAAGATTTATGTTATCTGAAGAGAAAGGGATTTCTAAAAGCTTATTTTGAAATCAGCCTGTTCTTTCTGTTCTCTTCATGGCCATTAATATAGAAATAAAGGAATTTACTAAAAATGTAGCTTCCGGCCATTTTAGTGACAGAGCTCATTCTTCTTGGCTGAGAATTGCCTGTCAGTTACTGATGAAGCCTGTCAGGCCTGGTGTTGTTTGCAAAGCCTCAGGAGCTGCTCGGCTGGAAGGTAATGACTGAAGTCATCTGCATGTGTAAGAGGCACAGCAGCAGAATGAACAAGGGGGTCTCTGTCATGTTCTAACTTTCCTCCTAAGTTGGTCCTCCCAAAAGGACATCAGTATTAGATGATATTACAGTTTGCTCTAGTTTTTTTAAAATATTCATTTGAGTGTTTCTATGTGACACAGTTTTAAATTATGTAATCTGACTAGATGTGTATTAATATCAGTTCAATCCTAAGATTCGTGCAATATTGTGAAAAACTTTCTAAGGCTTTCTGTGCCAGTTAGACAAAAATGAGTAGGATAAATTCTAACGGAGACTACTTTTTTTCTTTCCCCAGAGTGTCACCTATTCACTAGAGTAAATTATGATACCCTACCATATTGTAGAGATAAAGACGTTAAGTAAAATAATGCTTATCTTGAAAACTTAATGGATCATTTGTTTTGCAAATTGTAAATTTTTTCATAACTAGAAAGTCTGATCCTTTTCTCTTAATCCATAGTGGGTTCCAGTCCTACAAGATTTCAGTAATAAGGGCACACTCTGGGGCTTTGTGCCGTTTGTGGATGAACAGCAACCAACTGAAATACCAATTCCAATTACCCTTCATATTGGAGACTACAATATGGATGGCTATCCAGATGCTCTGGTCATACTAAAGAACACATCTGGAAGGTAAGGAAATTAAATCAAGTGAGAAATATTTGTAAACTATGTGAGAAATATTTGCAAACCATGGTGCTTTGCAACTGAATAGTACCTAAATATGTTATAATCTCTTAAATAAGGAACATGATGAGCTCAGTTCCTGTGTTTTAATTTGATCCCTGCACTTCTCACAACTGCGTAGAATACCTATTTTTTTCCCACAGATTCATTATCTGTAAAACAAAAATGAACACCCAGTCTGAAGTAAAAAGTTATATTTCACTCAGTAAAACTTAATCTTTAAGAGGTCAAAAGTTTTTATAGGCAAATGACCCAATTACATTTTGAGACCGAAGACACTGGTGGTTAAGAACTGACTCTAGGCTTTGATCGCAGTCCAACCACTTACCCTCTGTGTGACCTTGGTCATGTTACTCAAATTCTTCATGTGTAAAATACGTGTAATAATTGTACCTCTGTCATGGAGTTATAGTAAAGATTAAATAAGGTAAAAGTAAATGAATGACTTAGAAAGATACTCTTGGCATATTGATTTTACATTTGGTAAATGTTGTTACATTATTATTGCTTGTTTTGTAATGACACTGGAAATTCCACCATGACTATTGATATTTTCTGTATGTGTAAACTGTGAGTACATTTATTGCATTAGCAGTGACTTTTAATGCTGCAATTACTTTAATTTTTGAAATAGAAGTACCAATAGATAAACCAATATAGTTAAACTCATAATTAGCTTGAATCCTGACAGATGCCATAAATATGACTGTTCCTAAATTTTAATACCTTATCATTTTATTCATCTCACAATTAATGATATTCCTTGGCCCTTATTCTTTCTTTCCTTTTACATTATTTTTCTGTGTATTAATTTATTTGTTGACTCTGGAATTACTAGTGATTCAGCTCCATATTCAGAACCAGGCTCATGATACAAAACAACTTCTTCAGAAAAAGTCAGACCTATTATTGCTTTTAACACCAGTGTTGTCTGGAAATCTGATATTTAGAGAAATATTTATCATTAGTGAGTGTTCCTAAACTATTTATAGAAAAGCGTGGAGAGTCTGTATGTTAACTTTCCTAAGCACGTTGGTTTGAAATTATAATGTCTCTGCATCATGTTTGTAGAGTTTTCCAAGGACATGACCATGGTGTTATGCAGAGTTTAATATGTACTTATAACCTACGTGTGTGAAACAGATCTGATATAGCCAAAACAAACTTCTGAATGGAACGTGAGTGTTACTCCTTTTGAAAGCATAGTGACACATAAAAGCAAAGAACTGCAAAATTACTTTATTTTAGACATTGGGTCTATTCAGAAGAATAAGAAATTACATTTTAAATTCATTTAATCCTGTGATTACTCATCCTTAGAATATTTAAATAATTTATATTTTACTATAAAAGTTCTTTATCAACAGCGTTTTTTGTTAACAATTCCTTTGCCATTTAGCAATACAGATGGTATCAACTGCTAACTCAGCAGTGAACACTTTAGTTCTGCAGGAAAAATAAGTACTAAAGGCAGTTGTACTTTTTTATGAAAGTCTTAATACCATTATAAAAGCAGTTGTGTAAAAATCAATTATTTCTTTTCTGTTCTTTTAAGGTAGATGAAAATTGAAGGATAGAGTTCAGTTCATCTCAATGTTCATTCCATCACAGATGAGAAGTAGCCCTAACTTTAAATTAAATCTGAATATTATTTAGAGTTGCTGTTACATTTCTGTAGGAAAATTTGACAAATCATATTAAAATTAATGCTCTAGACCTTGTTAGGTCATTTTCTAAAATTCAAGGACAGATTGTAATTTCCTAGTAATAAATAAATATTTATTTAACACTGGTACTATAGAAGTTATGTTAGTAATGTATCATGTCAAGCACATAGAGTGAATATTTCTTCCTTCTTTTGAGAATTTTATCTGGTGACTGCATTTAAGAGTGTGACTCTTAGTCTTCATTCTGACTATTCCTATCACCTTTGTATGATACAGTCAAAATGTTGACATATTTAAGAAGAGTTTTATTGTTACTAATATATTGCAAGTCACTGGATGAAACTGGATAGCAAAACCTGAGCTTCCATTGGGCTTTTATAGGAGTTCCAAGCCTAGAAGTACCTAAGAATAAAAAACGTTTTTGGCAGCAAAGAAGCACACTCAGAAGTCTGAGTATCAGCTATGAGGGCATCCCAAACCTATAAAATGGCAAGTACATCTGTAAATGGCCAAATGTAATATATTGCCTGTTAGTTAATGCTGGGGAAAAAATGGTTTTTGTTTATGAAATAATTTTACTTTGTATTACTCTAGCCTCATTTTTCATAGGTTAGTTATTATCTTTATTTTACAAATATGAAAATGGTCTGAGATAAATCGGACAACTTACCCAATATCATACAGCTAGTAAGTTGGAATTCCTAATTCGGTTATAATCTGCATTTTCATCCGCATCCTCAGCTTTATACAATAATTTACCTTTACATTAATGACCCTGACTCATCAATGAAAGGTTACATTATGTTGCAGATGTTCTACTTTTTTAAAAAGGCATAGAGGTTGATAGTACAAGGGCCTACATCTGTGGGAACATTTCTAGCCACTATTCTTTTTAATTTTCTCTATGAAGTAGAGATGCCGGTGAGGCTACAGAGAAAAGGGAACACTTATACACTGTTGGTGGGAATCTAGATTAGTTGAACCACTGTGGAAAGCAGTTTGGAGATTTTTCCAAGAACTTATAACTGCCATTCAACCCAGCAATCCCATTACTGGGTATATACCCACAGGAAAATAAACTGTTTTACCGAAAACACACATGCACATGTATGTTCATTGCAGCACTATTCACAATAGCAGAGACGTGGAATCAATGTAGGTGCCCATCAATAGTGGATTGGATTTTTAAAAATATGGTATAAATACGTTATGGAATACCATGCAGCCATGAAAAATAACAAAATCTTGTACTTTACAGCAACCTGGATGCAGCTGGAGGCCATTTTCCTAAGCAAATTAACACAGGCACAGAAAATCAAATACTGCGTGTTCTCACTAATAAGTGGGAGCTAAACAGTGTGTACTCATGGACATAAAAATTCCAACAGTAAACACTGGGAACTACTAGAGAGGGAAGAGAGGAAGGAGATCAAGAGTTGAAAAACTAACTGTTGGGTACTGTGCTTAGTACCTGGGTGATGGGATCAGTCATACCCCAAAACTCAGTACCATGCAGTATACCCATGTAATAAATTTGCTCATGTACCCTGTGAATCTAAAATAAAAGTTGAAATTATAAATGTTAAGAAAGAAAGAAATATTGTCCTGGATGTAAACTCATTGTGTCTCATTATCGAAGAACACCTCATAATTGCTATGTTGGCTAGCCTTCACTTAACCAACTCCAACTTCATAACTTGGAATTTGTAAAGATCAAAAAATTTTCTTTCAATAATATTGCCTATTCATCTACTATAATGAATCCCATACTAAAATTCTTAGTCCCATAATAAAATGGAAAAAGAACTCCACTAATTAGTTCTGAGGGAAGAAACCTTTGTAGACAGTGAGAGTTAATTCTACCGTTAATCCCAACGGAGATACATTAAAAGATATATTACACATTATTTATTTTGTCAGCAATCAATTTTAAAGTATTAAATACCCTTACTAAATTTATAGGTGTAAAGTTGCATTCCTTTATACTTCTTAAATTTTCTTTAAGTCTTTAGATACGACTCCTTCACATTTTTAGTATTATTTGCCTTTTTAATTTCTTTCATCAGACTTGATAAAGGCTTCTTCCTCCGTCTTATTATTTCAGTCATGTCTGTGTTTTTGTTGGTATTGTAGAGGTTCAAAGAATCACCTTTATTTTCAGTAAGATGAATTTCTTCTATGAATATTTTCTTTATGTTTGTTTTTACATTTTTTCCTGTTTTGCTTTCTTCAAGTTTATTTTTATTTTTTATTTTTTATTTTTTACGTTATTTCATTGAATACTAAACTAATAGGTGTTTACTCTTGTTTTCTATTAAGTGCTTTTAAGACTAAATATTGTGAGCTTGGCTTCAGGTCATATATTTTGATACTATGTGGTTTCTTTGTTCTTTCTTATTTAAAATTTTGCATATACACAGAATTATTTAGAAAGGTATTTTAAAGAGTTCACATAAATATGTTTGGGAAGTTGCATTTATCGTTGTTTTTTGGATTTGAGTCTATCTCTTCATTTTTTGTTCTTTTAGTATGGCATTGCAAATATAAATGTGGCTTATGCAATACTTTTAGAAACTTGTTGAAATGTTTCTGGTAGTTTAATAGCTCAGTGAATGGTTATCTGAAATATCATTCCTGTTAATTATAGTATTTAAATCTTTATTTTTATTTTCTTTTCTACCTTTTATTGGATTATTCAACATTTTCTTCCTTTTATAGTTCCTAAGGGGGTTAACATATTAAAATTTTTGTTTTTGTCATAGTGGTTACATTTAAATATTAATACCTATACTTAAATTTTACCTTTAATGAACTACTGGAGTTAATATGTAAGGCAAGAATTTTAGGACACTTCTAGTTCTCTCTCTCCCCACCCCAATTACTTCTCATTCAGTGGTATTATCAATTGATGGAATGATTTTCACATTTTGTTGCTACAGTTATTTACACTTAGCTACAGGGTTTACTGGTTTCTCTGATCACCATTGAATATTATATCTTTCATTCTTTCTTCAGTTTCCATTTTTCTGGACACATTATCAAGTAATTCTATCTGGGAGAGTCTGCAGCCTCTTTCTGAAACTTTACATGTCTGAAATTTTCTTTATTTTCCTCCAGCCTGAATTGCTAACTTGGCTGAGTACAGGATTCTAGATTCAAAATTATTTTACTTCATATCCTTAAAGACACTTCGCCATTAAATTCCAATATTCACTTTTGCTAGTCAAGTCTGGTGATAATCTGATTGTTCATTGCAGGTAACCTCTTATGTTCTAAGAT